CATACAGGCAGCTCTAATTCTCACAGAATCAAGCACACACATCGTGAGCAGAACAAGAGACGTGAGGACACAACAGGATGCAATACAAATATTACTTGCTAAGCAGCCTCCTGAAGCCTTGTAGGCAAGCTTCCCCGAGTGAGGAGTGCTGGCTGCCACTGTACCATCACTTGCACTACCAGGGAAAAAGAAACTCAGTTTCATTCTTTCCAGACCTGGGAAACTCAACCTTATGAACTAATTATACAGCCAAAGACACCCTCAGCAGTAAGATATCCTTGGGAGATTTTTTTTTGTCCACTAGAAGTAACTGTCCTACCAATAGAAAATTCACTTTCCTCTGGCCCCATTCCCACACACACTCCCTACAGCTATTTCCACCCACACTACAGCTCTTTTTAACTGTGTTTAAAAAGCTGAGAGAGAGAGAAATGTGCTGCTGCTGCTGCTGGTGCTCCTCCTCCTCCTCAGGTGGGCGGGTTGGTAGCTGGTCAGTTTTCTGCAGCATTTCTCATTGCTGGATGCGTGGGAGGCCGAGAGCAGGAAGGGAAGGAAGCGGCCCTCTTAGGAAGGGAGACATATCAAAGCAAGTGGGAAGCAAATAGCCCCTTCCCACCTGCACATGTGCAATTATATGCAAATGAAAAGCTCACACAATAGATCTGCAAGCAGAGCTTTCCAAGCTGTGGCCCTAAAAGGTATCAAACAGCTTGGGTCTCAAAGCCAAATTCAGGGGTGACCAGATCTCTAGGAAGACAGCATTTTTCACACACGAAGAAGAACAGATCCGTGGGGAGGGAAGGGGGAAGGGAAGAGGGCGTTCCTTACAGTTATGGTTTTCTGCGTAGGTGGAGGGTGGTTGGAGGGGAGGAGTGACAGATTGCTTGTGGCAGCAGGGAAGAAAGATGTAGGAGGGTGTTTGCCCAGGGTCCCGTCTAACCCAGGGGGTACTGGCAGGGTGGATGCAGCGCGAGTGGTATGTCTCAGGCGAGGTGGTGGGAGGGGAGGAACCCACTGGTGGACGGACCTTGCCTGGGGCCTCTCCCCCGGCCTCACCAACACGGCAGCGTCTGCAGCAGCACCCACCCACCCCCATGCTTTCCCCGGTGCCCTCTGAGGCCAAAAGAAAATGAAAACTACTTCGCTCACACAGTTTCGTTATGGATTTGCTTTCATCCTTTTCCAAACACTTCTAGTTCCCCACTGATAAGATGCAAATTAACTGGTAAAAAAAAAAGGAAAAAAGAAAATTTTATTTTTTCCCCTCACACACCCTTTCTTGTTACAGGAGAAATTCACTACTGCATGCCATTAGCTGTGCCCTCATCCCAAATCTATGACTTCGTTATCTGAAAAGTGTCTGACTAAAATCTCTGGGGAAGGCACTCTGTTCCCATGGGATTACTCACGTTACAGGCAAAAGTAGAAATTTGCTTCTCCATATTACATATGTGTTTCCTGTGTTTCAGTCCTTCCCGGGGCTGGTCTATTGTTAGCGAGTGGAGAAACAGATTAGTTTTCCACTTACTTTAAGCCTACTTCTACTCTCACTGACGTCAATGGAAGACTCTCCACTGCAGTACTAGGCGTCCATGCTGGCGCAAGGAAATCTGAACCTGTGTCATCTATGGAGGTGTTTTAGAATATTGTCAACCGAGACTGGACTAAGAAAAAACAATTTGAAGATTGCTTGTCAGCACAGTAGTAACCAGTTAGCAGGGATGAACTGGAAATTCTCCCGTTCTATTCCTTAAGCCTTCACAGACTTATTTTTCCTTACCTTGATACACTGTAAGGATGCACTTACTACCCACACATAGAGAAATTAGATGCTAGCTGGTAGACCAGCAGAGGAACAGATTAAATTTACAGCAAGCCTGGACACAGGAGCACGGGACATGATGAAGTACATGTACCATTTATTATCTGGTCTTGGTGAACTACGCTGGGAGTTCTCAGAGGCAAGTAAGTGAAAGGTATGAATTAATGATTAATTAGGGTTATATAGGTGGCATACAGAACACAGCTGAGCTGCTCTTGGAATCCTTCTCGGGAACAAGAGCTCCCACGTCCTGAAGTTATATGTTTTTCTGGAAAAGAAACCAAAAAAACCCCAGAAACAAAACCCAAAAACATCTGCTCAACTCTAAAGCCCTCCTACAGTCTGCAATTTGTTTTCTCTTTCCAAACCTGTTGAACACACTGCCAGGAAATTTCTCCAAGGGGAGGAATTACAACCTGCCTATCCTTCTGGCTATTGCACTTATACTCCCGGAGTTTCTGGCTTGGTTAGTAGGGGTGCTGTTCACCCCTGGTATATCCAGTCTCCTGCAGCCCTCTTTGCTAACAGTAATACCATCCGTAAACTCCCAGGTTAAAGGTCATCTCATTCTGCTTATTCTCGTGCAACTCCAGTATTTTCCCTCTTTTCTCTATTTCTACTTATAGAAGTCTTTTATTTACATTTTAGAAAACATTTTCACTTTGATATTCCACTCTGCAGAAAATAGGGTGTGCAGGAGGACTATTAAAAACCAGGATATCTGAGTTACTTTTTGGACTGGCTTTCAGTCACTAAATGGCTGTCTGTGAGAAAATTGCAATTTTCTAACACCCACCATCCCCCCTACCCCCCGCCAAAACTATAGATAAATTTAAGCCATCACCAGCATGTTTTAAAATGAAGTAGAATTCTAGGGTTAAGGAAGATGGCTCTTCTGTCACCACTCCTTCTTCTTGAAACCAATTTAAAAATTAAGCATAAATTCAGTGTCAGCTCTGTTGAAAGACATCAGTAGCTGTTGCAAGACAATGCTTGCTGCTACTTCACTGTTTACAAATGAGCAGGCCCGACTCTTGTTCTAAATCAGACATACAGCTGGAAGACAACAAAGAAAGGGTCTACACCATTAGTTATACTGAAGCCAGGGGGGGAATAGATGGGGGCAACAGATTAAAATCAGGATAATTAAAAGATCAATCAGACCACTGACTTCTATTTTGGACTCTAGAAACAGACATCCTATGTAATCATGTCCTGATCACAGCCTTGCCCATGTGCACCATGTGCAGGTGGAATTTATTAAGAGATTTCCAGGGGTTTCCGAACAGCCTCCACCTGCTTTTACCCAAGGTTAGCCTCCACACACTGGTTTCTTAATTTCCACAACAACACTAACAAAAAGATTACCCTACAGAAAGGTTCTGTTCATATTTGTCTGTGAAATGTATAGGCTTTCATAGAATACGAAGTAAAAAAATGTCATCTGCTTATCAAACTCCCTATAATTTGCTTATGCCTGGATGAGGGATGCAGAGTTATCTCATCCTCAAAAATAATAATAAAAAAAAAATCTAAGTAAGGGTTCAGATTTGGCAACTGTGATAATGTGGTGTCATTTAGACTGGTTTAGATTTAACTGCATGGTACTTGCTGTAAAACAGCCTGTATATACTCAAGATGACACTAATAGGCTGCATCTTTGATGATCATATAATCTGTAGGTAAAAGTTCGAATAGTCTGGATTGCCTGATGAATTCTGCAATTAATTAGTTTGCAGTAGGCAGTCTCCCAATGCCTGCAAAAGCACCTCATGTCCTGTTCTTAGTTATTTTTCGTTCAGTGTTCGAGACTGAAAACTGAGACTGCACGATACAGAAATGTTCTGTGTCTTTTTTTGTGCCTATTTAGGTTGATTAAGATTTTTACAACCAAATTTAATATACCCTGAGAGTTACTGCAACGGAAACGCCAATACAGATGACGCTGCTATAAGCAGGGGCTGAATCATTTCTCGAAATGAAGAGCAAGGTTGCCCTCTGGGGACTTCTCTAGAAGTGCTTCTGAGAGCTGGGATTTTTTTGTTCCAGCAAAATAATTTTGCTACCAGGTTTATGATATTTTTTTTTTAAATATGAATGTGAATCAAGACAGCCAGTGCTAAGAACTTGCTACAGTGAGAGATGGTGAAGCTACATTTCTACCTAATGCACTGTATTGTCATTTACTCCATGGTTCATCACACATTTTTTCAGTATCAGTCTCATGCTGGTATGTGTCAGCCTAAAAAAATCTGGTCTCACATAGTTACTGAAATAAAAGTGAATTTAGTATTATGGACTCCTACTACGAAGTTCATACATTTTCAAATGCCTTAATCTTCTATTTTTTAAAAAATGGCAATTTTTCTGGTTGCAATTTCTGAGTCTATTTATGCTGAACACGTGCTGCATTTGAGCTCACAGTTCTGTCCCTGGCTACTGTCGGGGCAGTAACCACATTAGCTGTTTAATCCCTGTATTTGCCTCCTCGGACAACCAGGTTTTGGTGGGATGTTACATTTCAGCAGCTCCTTAATCCCAGCTCACTAATCTGTGTGTCAGTAGCTCAAAGGGCAGCACAGGTGTGGCAGCAGGTGTAAAGGATGAGGAGAAACAGGGAGGTCAGAAATTAAGAAACCGGTTTCACTGCTGAAAACAATAAATCATCAAAATGCAGTGTCAGTCCACAAAGTTCAGCTCTGAAGGTAATTTGGCAACACGGTGCTTTCCACCTCGGGCAGCAACCACCATGCTTTACGTTATTGCTACATATGGCATCATTTGCTTCACCGGTGAAGGAACAGCCTCACTTCACATCCTCACAACTCCTGGCCTACTCCAGGATGGGGAGCACCACCCCTATGGCCCAGATCCTGTCAAGGTAAGGAAAACCCTTCATGCAACTACCGGGCAAGGGGCCTGCAGCCTTGCTTACAAACCCCATGCCGTCGCCCGGCTGACTGGAAAGGGGCTGTTCGGTGCCAACTGCCCG